AATCTGCCACAAGGCACGTGCATAAAGCTCAATATGCACAGATGACAGATTTTTTGCCATAAGACATACAATTAAATTACTTTGTACCAGTTGATGGAGATTTTGAAGGATATTGACATTGTCAAAATCTGCTGAAAGTCCAGCTAATGATTGAAGACTATGTTCAATAATTGATTTCTTGGTAGATGTACAGATCATCCACAGGATAGCTTGACCATCCAGCCAATGAGATTTTAGCTGCTCCTGAACATAGTGAACTTCAACATCATATTCTGAAGGTAGCCTCCATGGCAAGTTATTTAATTGAGAGAGTTTATTTGTTTTTTGGTTTGAAATCATAGCACAAATCTTTCTTACATGTTTCTTTGTAGTGCCGAAAGTAGGCAGATAAGATGGATATACTAGAATATATTTTGATGAATAATAATTGTAATGTTTACAGCATAGGCTGCATACGGGCTGCAGTGTCCTTTGATAGATGTAGTCAATCGGTTTGACTAAAGGATAAATCAGGCACCAGGAAGGAACAAGTATGACTAATAGCAAAATCTTTAAAGACCATTCTCCGACAAATGCCAGAAAGTACCAGGCATGAAAAAATAATGTTTTCAATGAACGGTAACACTGTAAAAAAAATGATCCAGCTCTTTTTGTCGAAACAGTTATAATATGGCTCCAGATGAACAGAAATGAAGTGGCTATAAATAGCTCAAATGCTCTGAATCTTTCCCTCAAATAGTGGAGATTGAATTTGGTCATGACTCTCCTGAGTGGATATAAGCCCTGATAAATTAATGCTGAAATGGCTGTTTTCCAAGGACAATTGCAGACTGCAGGAAGAAGAAAACTAGCAATATGGAATAGAACAATGCATCCTATGCATATAGTTGATGCTATAGCAATGGTCTCATTTAAAGAGAACAGCCATATTGATAACCCTAGTAGAAACAATATTATACAGATTGATATTGCAAAGGGCAGGAACCCAATTATCTCAGGAGTTTTCCATTTGATAAGAGCATCATATCGGCGCTGTCTCAGACGGGCTCGAACCTGATGCGATGAAGGCAAACCTGCAGCATATGCAGCCAGCCATTGTTTTATCAGCATGCCTATTGCAGCTGCACCCAAGGAGCAAGCCAATGAAATAAACCATAGTCCATTGACCCAAACATTTGTGGATGAGATATTAAATACTATCTCCCGATTGGGCTGTGTTGTGTTTGCTTGTGGATATCTGAGACTTTGAACAATATCCTGAAGAAGAGCATTGGTCACATCTTGTGCACTTGGTCCTAAACTCTGGACAGTGAAAATGACAAATGCAGTTACAACTGCAGAAAACAGAGTTGCCTAGTAAACAGATAATCAAGATTAGTCAGAAAGAAATATCACTTGCACAACAATGGGGATATTTACCACTATAAGCATAGTGTCAATGTTCTGGTTCCACTGCTTGAGCAGTTGTTGGTCATGTGTGTCAGCTTCATTTGTATATTCTTGCCAAATCGTTGCATGTGGGGACATCTCTTCACCATAGCCATCCCGTCTCTGTCACTTATATATAAGGTGGCCTGGGCAATTAAACAATTACTCACAGATGTTACCGCAGAATTCGTTCTGAGGTTATTGTAATCAATGATTGTTTCTTCAGGCATGATTCCAAAATTTCGGGGGTTGGAAATCTGTACAGTGGATGAAGAGGCTTTTTATAAGAGATTTTTGAATCACATCCCGAAGACTGATTGATACGTGATGTATGTCGTCAAGTTGATGACATGTAGTAGTAAGTAGTTTAATCGTAACTAGTGTTGCCGCTGCGGCTTGGGCGTTCCAGTCATGGCATCAAGCCCAAGCAGGGATCTTAATTTATTTCATTTTGCATTCGTGTACATTTCATATTCTGTGCTTCGATTTGATTTTTTTTTTTTTTTGTTAGCTTAGATATTTCATACATTTTTAGTTACGAGATGCATCGTTCGATCATGACACTCTCGGCTTAAATGTATAGTGTCACGTACTGCTGTATTTTATACATACATAACAGTTGTCAATCGAAGCACAGAATATGAAATGTATGTCAATATAACATGGCATTGCAATGATGGTAGCCCGTAAAGACAGGCAACGAAGCAGTTCATACTAGGTTACAAGATACAAGATGTATCAAATACATAAAAATGATAATGCCAACACAGTTCAGATCGATTTAACTTTTTCATTGGAAGACCTTCACTTCAAGACCGATCCAGGCGTCTTGCTCAAGAGGAAGGGTGTGGCAAAGCCTAATTATTCAAACATTAGCTCCATAGCAGAAAAATGTATGCAGTAGTGATCTGATTCACCCAGAGCGAAATTGAACAGCCTTGTTGGATGAAAAAATTGTGAAGTGGATGCGTTAGTGTATTATTCTCGCAACGCAGAGAATAGTTGCAGAGGTGGTCAAGTTGAAGCAGGACGTTTAACAAGTGCTGTTCGGCTGATTTCTCAATGATTTTCTCTATACAAGATGATCGCATGTAATATAGTAATATAGCGAGACACCAATGGATCTCTAGGAGATAATTTAGCTTTTTGAGGAGGAGAACAATAAGCTAGCACGCACTGAAGATGTTCAAGCAATCTAGCTGTAGCTTGGTTGAACTGATAGAGCCTGAGTTCTCCATATCGAAGCTTCATGGCCTTATCAAAGAATAAAGTGTTCACAGAGTAGAGATGCAGCATTACCGTGGACTGGAATGAAATCCAAAATATGTCGCACAACGTCCTCTGGCATATCCATTGTAGAATGGAGGGGAAGGAAGAAAGGACTAGAAAGAAGTCGTGGACTATCAAGATGATTCAGGCAGTGTGGGCATTCACGGCGTAAACGGGGATTCTAAATTTCCGTTATTCTACTTGTTGGTGCAATCTGACTACGCCCTCATCTCAATTAGGATTTCCGACCGTAGAGCACTTGTGAGGAACTTGGTTCAAGCCAGTATTTCAAGTCAGGATCGGCGACGATGAGACGCCGAAGCATTTCAATTAGACGCCTGTCTCTGCTTGACTCCGTTCTTCCATTGCGACGCTGGCTAGACTTTCAATATTTCTATCATATTGCCTAAATAATAATGTCTGCCTCCGCCCACGACTTGAACCTAAACCAAACTCTAAACGGTACCACTGGCTCCAAAATCTCAACTCTAGATGCTGCTTCGACTTCCACAGCTATGACTGCAACGTTAAATGTACCAGAACTCGATATCGACACCCTTGATCCAAAACTAGACCCAAAAACGCGCAAAGTTTTACGGAGATTAAAGGAGCAGGGATTCGATACGACTGATCTGTGAGTTCGAGTCATGTTTACCAACTATTCATAAGAAGCTTAGAATTCGTCGCTCTACGTTTAGCTCCTCCCATCCACCAAAACGCCTTGCAGCTGTTCTAATCTTACTATATGTACACGCTGGATCTCTCCGCGTCCTCCTAACAACTCGATCTAAATCTCTCCGTTCGCATCCTGGACAAACGGCTTTACCTGGCGGAAGGGTAGATGAAGAAGATAGAGGTATTTTAGAGACTGCTGTGAGTGTCGATCGCCTGGTATTTCCGTCTTAAATACAACGAATTTACTTCGGTCAATTTTACTGACAGTGCGAATTGATATAGTTTAGAGAAGCCAACGAGGAAGTCGGGCTGCCAATGCCTTCCGATTTTGCTTCTACATCCGCCTACCAAGTTCCAAACACTAATACTCCGCAAATCGCATATACTTTGTACTCTTTCACCGCACTTTGTCTCAGTGGGGACTGGTTGTTACACCTGTGAGCTGTTTATTATTCCCTCAGACCCATAATCATACCCATTTACTCAACTTCGTAGGTCATCGCATTCCTATCCTCCTGTATCCTCCACACTCGATTCTTCAAGCTCACATGCAGAAACGCCACACAGCTACCTCCGCTCAACTCTCCGTGCAAACCCAGACGAGGTCGAGAGGATATTCACGCATCCGCTCGAGGCGCTTTTGGATCCGGAGACGGTATTGCCAGAGGCGGGATTGGAGCCTGCGTTTAAAGGAGATGGAGTCAATAGAACCGGAGTTGCTGTAGATGAAGCTGACGGAGCTGGAGGAGTGGTGAACGGAGATGGCGGCGGATTGGGTCTGGATGCGTTAGCAGAGAAGGGAAGCGAGGATTGGCCTTATGAGGAGGAATTATATGTACGTCTTGATATTCAATCCGTTCATCCGCTTCATCCTTTCTTATTGGCTCGTTCTTCGTTCCTTCGTGCTGAATACCAACCATCCCCTCCCTTACTCTCGCACCCCTTGTTGATTTAACCAGAACTCCACCGACCGCATCTATCCCGGCGGCGATGGTACCGTCTACAGGATGCATCGATTCCGTTCAGTGGCGTCGCCTATCAAAGGGTTGACTGCCGAGATTTTGGTGAGCTGTCTCGCCTGGTATCTCTCGCTCTTTCGTTTTGAATTTGGGATTGGGTTATGGGGAGTTGTATTGGGACGGATGGACTTGTGCTCTCTTTGCTTCCCATTTCGTTCCAAGTCCTTTCTTCCATCTTACCTTGTTTCGTTTGGTCAAATCGCCCAAGGTGTTTTCTCTTCGTCAGTGTAGTACGGCACTGCCGGCTTTTTTTAATTCTCATTTGTACTTTCTGTCCCGTATCGACATACTAACTAGCCTGCTCCTCCCCTACCCAATGCTTTATTCCCCTACACCCCACAGATGCGCATAGCAATCCTCGCATACGACAGGTTGCCCGTTCCTCCGATTGAGCAGTATGCTGAGGGTCAAGCACGTCTCGCGTAGGAGTTCGAAAGGGATCCATGGAGAGGACCAAGGGCTGGGAGCGGGAGATGCCAAAGACATAGCTCCTTTGTCGATCGTAATAGATTCGGATGGAGGTGGATGGAAGGTCTAGTAGCAAGTTGAGTAGTGATAGTAGTCGAAACAGAGACCATTGGGATAAACAGAAACTGTCAAGCTAGTATTGGTTCGATGGCGTAGTGGTTATCGCATCTGTCTTACATTATCTATGAGTGGGATTGTACAGCACAGAAGGTCTCCGGTTCGATCCCGGGTCGAATCATAACTACGAAGAAAAGATGTCTGTGGTTTTTTCTTCATCGCCTCAAACTTCTTTCGCATTCCTTGTGTTTACCCAAAAATACATAAAATACCAAACCACCAAACCACTACCTACCTACCTAAAGTAATAAGACCTATTTTGCTTTCACTACATATTCAGTCAATTCCCTTTGGTGGTCTCACATGTTGCTGAGTGGTGCTATTGGAGTCCATATTGAGCAAAAATAAAAACTGGATTTTCATCTCATGATCTCCAGAATCTAAAGTAGTGCTGCTGAAAATTTTTATGGATGGGTATGCCTCATTGTTGGTGTTCATTTTATTGTAAGTCCTTGTTTAATGTGTTTTTTGTCAAGTTGAGTACAATGCAGGGTATGTTAGGATGCCCAGAAATGGAAAAAGAGAGTATAAGTCCAGTAGTACTCTCTAAATCCTACTCCTTGACCTCAATTCATCCCTCTCTTGTTTGAAAGCTTCAATCTCATTCAGCTTGATGACCTTAAATGGCCAAGTCAACCAATTCCTCCACTTCTGTAAATCTTCAACCCCATGTCATTCAGCAGCTCATCAATTGTTTGGGGCCATGTCCACTGTCCAGAAAGCCAGGTTGCTGCTATAGCTCTCATTTACCCACAAAAGCATATCAGGGTACCTTTTCCTTAACCATGCACTATTTTGGTCTGCATGTGCCAGGGTCTCCTGTTATGAACACTTTATCTTATCTCATGCCACATGGACTATTACTTATCATTTTCCTTTGTTTACCTTTATATTTCCTTGGTGCTTACTTAAGCATGCACTTGTTTAGGTGCATGGCTGTGTTGTTTACTTATATTTGCTTTCTTTATAGTTCATTGACACATGTATGATCTTGTATGATGGTTTGATCCTTGATCATAGGTCTTGATCATACAATCATCCTTCAATCACTTTCACACCAAAAATGGACAAATTTCTGCTGAGCAGAAACTTGATCAGAAATTAGATATATCAAGAAATATGTGGGCACTATAGAAATATATACTGAAATTTATGTATTCATTAGTATTTAAAGATTTGCTGAAATTTTCCCAATCAGTCCAATATTTGGGTCACAAGAAAGGACATCTGATTCATGCTGTATCAAATGACCCAAAAATTGAGCTGAATTTTTGTGAGACTCAGTGCATGAAATGGATCTCAAACCAATGTATCCTGAATGTCTCCCACCTAGATGTAGGTGGAGACCAAATGCAACCACCTGGGGTAACCATGCCATAAGGTGGGTCTGGACAGTGTTGTATGGAACAGTACAAGCCTCAGAGGTGCAAGGAACAGTGTATGGTAACAAGCTGTGGGTCCGTTGGTTCAAATAGTGTAGAGCAATCAACACTAAGTGATCGGAACACAGGGGGTTTGGCTATCAATTTAAATAGCAAGGGTGCATTGTCAAAGATTCCGCAAAGAAAATACTCTATTTTTCTCTCGAAAGTGACTGGTGTTTCTCGAAGTGATGCTGGTAGACAATGGAAGGATAGGATCTCCTTTTCTAATCAATCTATACTGATTCAGGGCAATGATAGGGGCAACAATATAACAATGACAACAAAAAGAACCACCAACAATATGGCTTGGTTCAACAAAGTGATTCCCAACAGTAGGGCAAAACCACTCAGGACAACAGACAGTTTGTTTCCTGTACACCTGAGCTCAGTCACAACAGATGGTCGTTTCTCGGTGGTCACACTAGACTCCTCAAAACTAAAAACAACAATTTGACTTGGTATAAGTCTGGGGTTTTCACAGTCATCAGGATTATAAGTCTCTAACGCTGGGCGCAATAAACAACTCTTTTCTGTACCACACAAAGTATTACTTTGGTTCACAAGGGAGTGGTATCTTTCCTGTCTCAGCCGTAGCTACGTCAACAAGGATTCACACTAGCAACAAATGAGGTCCAAAGGTAACTTGTTTTGCAAAGGAAATATAGCTAGGCTTTTATACTACTCTCGGCCAGACCCCGGTTAAATAATAAGGTACTTCAAGAATCCGGAGAAATGCTACAACTTATTCAGAAAAGGAGAAATTATAATAAAGTAGTCCGTATATGCATATATCTGCAACCCTAATGTCCATTCATCTGCTTCTTATGGGCATTATACCCTATTTCTATCTGGGTTATACACCTTTGGTCCTTTCCTGGGCGACGTGTACTGCTATGTAGCTGACGCATATCCAGTGCTGTGCTCACTAATCCCATCATAGTTCTGTTTCTCATCATAACTTATTGTGTCCTTCTTTCCTTCTTTTGTATTATCATTCTCCATCCTCGTAGCTTTCCAATCATACCCATATCTCTATATCCCTGCAGTATATTCATGCGGGAAAACACCAACTAATGTACAGTGTTATTCTCCTAGCTCAAATCTCTGTCTATTACACATTGTTTCTTCCATTTCTCAGCAGACACGTACACCTTCCGATACTGATACATGTCACTTCGAGGGTCTATGTATACTCTCTTGGCTTCGTCAATCCTCCTGTTCTTATTTGTTCTTTTGGCATACACCGGTTATCTGTTTGTTTGGCGCCAAACAGAATATTAGTGCTTCCTCGGTATCAAGCTTCGAAGTATCCTTCGGCTATCATGACAATCTCAGCATCAGCCCACTGGAATTGGTTCTGTCCTGTTTTGCGAAGTTTATATCCTTCCATAATCCCTGAGTTACTTGTCTTCAGAGTGTATCCTTTGGAGCTCGAGTCTATGTGGGCGATGTGCCTCTTTTAATATGAGTTCTGGCGTTGACATGCCAGTAAGATCCCGCTACCAGACTATGGATTCCTACAAACTACTTAGAGCTGATATTCAGTTTAATACCATGGCTCTGTTGGTCCCGAGTACTTCCACACTTATTAGACTCATTACAGCTATCAGCTCAGGCTCACTATAGCTCTCTTATACCATCTCTAGAAGCGAATTTGTCAAGAATCGCGTTCTTGAGGTCTTGCCAAAAATTCGGCATATTAACGGGCCACCTGATGATGTAATCAAGAGGAAGCGGGTGGTATTGTGGTCCAACAACCAGAAGTGAGTGGAAGCAGATGGAATATGGATGAAGGGGTGGTCCAAAAAGGTGTAATAAGTCCAAATATGGATAATGCAGGTGGAATACAGAAAATGCGGATGGAAATAGGTGGAAGCGGACTGAAATAGCGTGGGAGCGGATGGAATGGGGTGAAAGCGGACGGAAATAGCATGGGAGTGGATGGGATGGGGTGAAAGCGGATGGGAATAGCATGGGAGTGGATGGAATAGGGTGAAAGCAGATGGAAATAGCATGGGAGCGGATAGAATTGGGTGAAAGCAGATGGTGCCAGAGGTTCTAGAGGTAGCAAAACCCAAATAGGGAGCGCCCGAGGAGCTTTGGTCATAAAGTCGTAAACAGAGATAGAAGACAGTGAGCTCCAGAGATAGATTTGGTATCTACAGACAGAGCCTCGCAGTTAATGCAGATGACAGTGAGCCTTTGAACAGAGCTCGGAAGGCACAACTGGTTAGAACAGATAGAAATAGAAATAGAGAGACAGAGACAGAGACAGAAGCAAAACGGGATCGATTCGGTAACAAGGGTAATAACAGACTAGGGTGCATGGACTTGGGGTGTCTACTTATATACTGGAGGGAGGCCGTGTAACTCGTTGGGAGGGCCTGATGGATGGTTATCAAGTGTGGGAGGCACCCGGGAGGCAGGATAAGTGGTAATCACATGTAGAAAGTGCCCGGCAGGCAGGATAAATGGTAAATAAGCATGGAAAGCGCCCGCAATGTAGGTAATGAGTGCGGGAAGTATCCGCGGATGGTCAGGAAGCGTGGGAAACATCAGCGGGTGGATAGCGGATGAGAAATGAGCCAAGGCCTGACAGAAGCAAAACAGGATTGATTCGGTAACAATGGTAACAGCGGTAATAACAGACTAGGGTACATGTCTACTTACTGTGGTGCCAGAAATTAACCGAACATGTGAAATTTCAACTTGTGATCTCAATATCTCAAGATCAAGTACATATAAGAGCAGGAGCTTGGTGTGTATTTTGTAGTGCTTTTAGTTCCCCAGATCCCTCAACTTACAGATATTGAATATCTCAACTCAGTCACAAGATATTGCTTGATTAGTTTTGCAGTATGATTTTTTGTGTGTAATTTTTGAGGATTTTACATTAAAACAGCATAGAACAAGCAATTCTGAACCATTTCTCATGATTTTTTGTACTGGTAGGAATAATAGAGGTCTGAAAATATGATATTCAACCACTTGGGGGCATAGTGTGGGAAATTACTCTTGCTACAGATGAAAAGTGCAATTCTTCCCAGTTTTGCATATTCCTCTATACACAACCTGAAACATGCATATATGATATTCAGAATTAGTGCACAGAGATGGGCTATACCTCATTATACCAAAATTTGGGCTCATTATCGTCATAGCACTATTTTATTCTGCATTCTCTGTGGATTCTTCCCATAAAAAACACTGTTTGTCACTTTGTGGTGCAAAATATGGGAACTTACTGTACACCAGCTACCAGAAAGAATGTGGAATCAGTGGAGAAGACCAAATATTTCAATCTCGTAAAAGCTCAACTGTCAAATCTTCCATCTATGCCCATTTTTCAGGCACATTTCTCAAAACCGAACATGAAAAATGGAATAGGAAAGTAATTGCACCATTGTTTGTTCAAATAAAGATAATGTTCAGTCATGTCAGAGTCATATCATGTAATATAGCTAATAAAGACCCTATAACATCTCTGACCAGCCAGAACCAAGTTTAGAAACAAAGATAGGCTGTTTTGTTTTTTGCTGAATTTTTTATTTTTTCTTATGGAGAAAATGCAAGTTAAAATGAGCATGAATGGTGTTTATAGCAATCCGACCTGTACCAGATTGAAGTTTTTGGTCTTCTCCACTGACTCCGCAGTCTTTCTGGTAGCTGGTGTACAGTAAGTTCCCATATTTTGCAC